TGAATTTGCCTACAAATATAAGCAAAAGAAAACGTATAAACAATAAAATTTTAAGCGATTCAAGAGACCATATTATACGCTAAGGACATTTTCTGATTAGTAATTGAATTGTCCATAATCAAATCCGAATCACATAAAGGCGATAAGTCACGTGTATGCTGTGTCGGTATAGAACCTATAACTGATAATTACCATTAACGTTACGTAGTGTATACGTGTGTACGTACGCAAATATAAAAAAGATAAACCCTTTTCAGGTAATCTTAAAGTTCTTTTAATATATTATACTAGATTTCATCATGGTAACAACTTCAAAAGCTCAGTCAATAACCACTGTTTGATTTAGTCTTTAAGTTAATTACTAAAACCTCCGATTAACAGCAGTACTACGATGAATTTGAACAGTTTGGGTTTGGCCTACAGAACCCAAACCGTGGGTTTGTAGAAATGTACCGTTGTTACCCAGTTATTATGATGCAAGGAAATGAAAGACAGAATGTGAATTTTGGGGGAAAAAGTATCTAACATTTCTGTGTCTCAAAAATACCAACAATCTCTGAATAATTAATTTTTAATTTGCATTGATAGTTATTTTACCACCTTCCGCGCTAGCAAAATTAGGTATTTCATAAAATGTTTGCATTTCATTTCAAATAATTTACTAATTCATTGGTGTCTTATAAAGCCAGCTTGAATATTGTTTATCCTATGTTATTTGAGTTGCGAAATACTGTAAAACAGAGACATTCGCATGCTGGAGTGCTCGAATTCATTGCAGAAGAGGGTCGTGTATATTTGCCCCATTGGGTAATTAGAAAAACCTAAGATTTTAACTCTATATATAAAAAAGTTTATAATTTATTACTGATCACTACACCTTCACAAAAATCCATTTGATAAATTAGATGATGCAAACTCTATTATTGGAAGATGGTGATCTTATTGAAATAAAAAACGCTTCATTGCCCTTGGGCAGCTTCGTCAGGATTCAACCACAAACGGTTGATTTTCTGGATATTAGCGATCCGAAAGCAGTGTAAATACGTTTTTTTTATTGAAATTAACATATAAGATTGTTACTATTTTTACTTAATTCATTATTGAAATAGACTTGAAAATGCGTTGCGCAATTTCTCCACTTTGACACAAGGCGATATCATTCAAATTAATTATAATAGTAAGATTTACGAAATCTTAGTATTGGAGGTAAAACCTTTGAACAATGGTATCTCTATTGTAGAAACGGATTTAGAGGTGTGTAACGCTGAAATTTATTGGGAACAATTATTCGCGTGCATCATTCTCTCGGTATTAAATACCTAGACACAAATAGGTCGATTTTGCTCCACCAGTAGGTTACGTTGAAAAACCATTACCAAAAAATACTATGGTATTTTCATTTCAGACTATATAAATTATGTGAACTTTATTACAAAGTTACTTATCATTATGTGCATACATTAGGCAAATAAGATCAAGATGGGTGAACCATCAATCGAATCCAAAGGATGGTCCGCATTTGGAGGTAGTGGACAACGTTTGAATGGAAAGGCTGTGAAAGTATCACCTGCAGCAACTTCTAATTCAAGGTTTAAATTACAATTAGCGACAATTGTTAACACATTAAAGTTAATTTGTTATGAATTAATCATTAATTAATTTATTAATTATCTAATAGTGTAAATTCAAGTATAGATAATTTAAATGAAAATATACCTGCTCCCCTAAATTTGCCGTTTGGAAAGTTATTCTTCGGGTATAAAGTCGTACCTTTTGGTGACAAAAAGCAAGAAATAACGGATGATGTATATATAGTTATTTTTGAGATGTCTTGTTTTTTTGTCCTTTTTTTTTCTATCGAAAATAATTAATCCGATTATATTTTATGCTTTCAGCCCGCACCGTTGTTTCCTGGAGAGGGACAAACTTTACGACCTCCTAGATAAGAATAGTAAATTTAGGTTAGGTATGGTTTAGGCTCTAGAACCTTTAAATTCCAAATTATAAACTTAGTTCTCAATATTTTGTAAGACAAGAATAAAAAATGTATTAATAAAACTTTACATAATTCATATCAAGCTTTTAGAAATATGTATTTTGATTTTTTGAATAACTTAATATGCTAATATTGATCATTTAGAGATTATGTAAAATTGTAAAAATTATTATTTTTTTTTCTTTGGCAGCCTTGCCATTAACATTTATTAAGATTTGTATTTACGAATTTGTACATACTTTGATCTAATTTCTGGTTTGACATCCTCCGGTTACTTCAATGAGTGCCCAGAGATGGTCTGCCGCATCAGTTGGAGTATATCTGGATTCGGGGATTGTATTAGATCAGCCTAAATGATCATATGAAAATGGTTTTACTTTACTTTCTATATAACTTTTAATTGAATTAAATCATATTTCTTTTATTTTACTGTTTTTCATTTCTTTCATTTCTTTAATCTTTGTGGTTTGGTTTCTTTTTATTCTAATTGTACTTCTTATTTGATTATGTATCTCTTTACTGGATGGTTTTGTATTTCTTTCTGATTTTCTTTAGTTTGATGATTGATTAATGTTTATTAGTTTTTCTTATTCAATAATAGTTTTATATCTTTTTTTTTATATGTTTTTATAAAACTCATTCTATATTATATTGGTTATTATGTTTAAAAATTCTTTTGTTTTTTTATTTTATTTTATTTTTTTCGGTATTAAGGTGATCTTTTTGGTTTAAGCTTTTTATTAATACTTATAGTGGATACATGTTTTATATAGATATATCTATAATGAACTATTAGATGAGTGTACAACTGGTTACATATGTAACTTTTTTATATTACCTATTTAAGAAGTCTGTCTGAGGGTTTTTTACCAGTTGTTGTACCTAACACCTTTACTTAGATGTTTTATTTAAACCTTTTGATCTAACTTTAGTATTAATTTTACCAGGTCATAGATCTAGATCTATTTGCATTTGATCATAGGATTATAATCTTTAGACTATTTTTATCCTTGAGGTATATCTACCAGAGCAAGCCACATTCTCTTTTACTGCTAACCTAGTTTGATGCTATGATCGAGATCAACACTTGCAGTCAGAATTATCTCTTAAACTGCTATTACCCTTATAAAGTTTACTTAAATCCTGGTATCCATTTTTTTGACTTCTTCTTTATCATCTCTTACTAGTTGTAACTCAGAACTAACTGACTTTCCAGACTTCCAATTCAGATGGCTTAGTATGATATATTTATATATTCTTTTTCTCTGATGATTCTGGTAACTTGGTTGATCATATGTTTCTCTATATATCTTTGTCATTCAATTTATCCAACAGTTCTTATGAAGGTGTTTTATAAGCTTCCATCAATTCAATGGTATCATCAAAAGTTTGTGTTACCTCTTTACTTGAGATTTCTAAGTGAGTTTTCATCTCTTTGGTTTTTTAGCCTTCTACATCTGGTAATCTTATCATGGGTTTGCACTGAAGCCTTATATGATACTGGTTTTTCACATTTCTCTATGTATATGTATCATGTAATATTACACTTCACATAGATGCTTCAAGCTTCCAATGTCAAGTAGGATCTGACTTGATATACCTAAGATTACAGATGCCCAAAACCTAACTGATTGGCAAAAGACAGTTATCATAACACAGGTATAATTTCCAAAATTCATTGTTCATGGAAATTGAACCTTAGACCTGCCACTTGAGAGTTGATAACCTATTTACTTTACTAGGTCACCACACTCTCTTTTGTTTTTTAAGTAATTTTAATATATATTTGTTTAATTATTTTTTCTTGAATTAAATATTTGATTATTCCTATTTTTTTTTTTTTTTTTTGTTTATTTGTTTATTAAAAAATCTTTTTAAGTTGTCTTTTGCTTATAGTTATTTATGTTTTATTTAAAAATTTAACTTATATAAGATTAATCAATAGATTTTTTATTTTTTTTTAATTATTTTCATAATACTTATATGTTACTAAATATTCTTGGTTTTTTTTTTCTTTTTTATTTCAAAATATGCAGAAAAGATTTTTGTAAAGATTTGATCTTTGTTATGTTAGAGATTTTAGTAATGATAATCTATAATTAAGACATTTAATTAAGATTCCTATTTGTATACTTTTTTTTTGGTTTGTACATCTACTTCTATTTTGGTTTTTAATTTTTTTTTTTAAGTACATTCAATTATATACTTTTTCTTATCATCTGGTTTTATTTTTTAATTGTTAATGAAAAATCCTCTTTGGTTTTTGTTTGTAGATTTAAAATTTTCTTAATAAAATTTTTTATTGGATCTTTTATAATCTTTTTTTTCTAACAAATAAAGATGCTAATCTCTTGAGAAGTTTTTTTTATTATTTTATCTAAACTATATATCTTGGTTTTTTCTTTTGTTCAACTATCTGCTTTATTGTTTCATTTATTATTATTATAATTTTTAATTTTGATTAAATCTATTTTTAAATTTTTTAATTCTATAATGTTTCTAATATTTTTTAGTAGATTATAATTCTTTCTTTTTAGTTATAGCCTATTAGATAGATTTTCTTTTCTATTTTTAAGATCTATAATTGCTATTATGCTATTTGTATAAATTTTTACTTTTCTCTATTCTGATGTTGTAAGAATAACAAATCATATTACTAAAAGCTCTGTTTTTGTTAATGATAACCAATTTTGTGTATCAAAATAGTTCTAACTTAGTATTTTCTTTTCTTTTTTATTTAGTTATACCTAGTCTAATCTTATTTGGTTTACTGTTAAATCTTCTTTTTCTAATACTTTTTATAATAAACTATTTGTATAAAGTATTAATATTTCTTTAAATTTTTCTTTATTTTTTTGGTTAAGTTCAATAAGTTCATCTTTTATTAGCTAATTAATAGATTGCTTTTTGTTGATTTTAATATTTAAATTAAAGTATATGACTTTAATAGCTTCATTTTCATTTAGTTGTATTCTTTTTTCTTTTATTTTTTATGAAAACTTATTATTTCTTGATCTAATTTTAGGGTTTGTTATTCATGTTTTCTAACATAGTCTGAAATTTCTTCTTGTATATTAGTTTTATTGATACATTTTTCATAATCTAAAGTATTTTGATTTTGGTTTAATTCATAATTTTTGTATTTAGATAAAATTAATTTTACTAGTTCTGTTTGCTTTTTTTTATATTAATATTTTATTAATAATCTTTTGAGATCTTTTATTAAGATTTTTCTAATTACTAACTCTGTATTTTCTTCTTTCTTAATTGTTTTTATTAGAATCTAATTTTGTTATAAAAAAATGGTGTTATAGAACAAATAATTATTATTTTATTATTATATTTTAAGACAATTTTAACTTGTACTACTGGTTAATTATAATCATATGATTAATTATAACCAGTAAGTATAATTAATCAGTAATATACAGTTTGTAAAAAAAAATTACTTTGAACTCAAGCTATTTTTCTATAACTTGCCCTAACTCTAATATGAAAAGAAAAACAAGACTAATGCTTATTCTAACTCTAAATATCAAACCCAAGTTATTTTTTTTATAACTTTCTCTAACCTTAATATAAAAAAAAGAATAAAACTAATATTCACCCTAATCCTAACTATTAAAAGAAGTTATTTATAAATTTTTGAATATTTATTTAAGCTATATTATGGTATAATATTACTTTTTTTAAATAATTTTATACTTCATTTAATTGAAAACATAAGATATCATATATATATTTATATATCAAATTATTTGGACAAAAAGTAGTCTAATTAGACAAGTTTTTTGTTAACTTTTTTTTTATTATTTTAACTCTGATGCTCAGGTCAGGGGCACATGTGGTGCTCTTTTATTAATAATATTTATTATTATCTAAAATATAAGTATTTATATATATTCTTTTTCTTTTTAGATGAAAATCTTTTTAAGCTAAACTGTATTATTTTGATTTCTTTGTTTAAATAACATTTAACTATACTTAATATATTTGTTAAAGTTTGGTAATTCTCTTTCTATTTAACTTTTGTATATTGGTACCAGATTTTGTAAATTGTGTTAATATGCAGTCATAGTGCTGTCTGTAATCCTTCTTTGCTCTTTATGTTTGATGCATTAAAGATCTTTTCTAGTGTTTTAGAAGGATATTTAGCTTGTCTAGTATCAAGAAAGAAGTAAGCTAGCTTTCAAATTTCTTGGCTAATTCTGCAGTTTATAATAAAATGCTTGAAGGTTTGCAATTCATCAATGCATCATGTACAGTCACTACTTTCTTCTGGGCTTACATGTTATAGACAATAACCAAAGAAAAGGGCTTTGTAAAAGAAATGTCAGGTAATATTTTTTTTTCTGTTTTCTATTGCCTTTATATCTAATCACTATTTATTAGAGCTTCTTTTTAGATTTGTATTTACAGAATTTGTGATTTTTTTTCTTAAGAATTCTGCTAGACTTTTTACTAAAATTTTGTTTTTTTTTTTTTCTTTCTATTATAAGATTTTTTTTACATTAAGGTCAATCAGTAGAAGCATCAACTGTTCCTTCTACTCTTTTCTAGGCAAGAATATATGGTTTTTATTCTGTTGGCCAAGCTGCTGATTTTATTGTTAGTTTTTTCAAAGCTTATAAAACAGAGATATTTCTTTTTTTTTTTATTATCATTGTAATTTTTTCTCTTTCGAATTTAGACTATAAGAAGTTTTCTATTAGGAGCTTTAGTCAAACTGTTAGTAATCTTGTGTTAAGCATATTTTTCATAACCAAAGCTTCTAGTCTTTGTTGGTTTACAAAAAACTAAAAGACTAAGAATTTAGGTAACATCTTTAAGGTTCCTTTCATTTATAATGTAATTATTCAATTGATCTCTGTTATTTGTTTTCTGTTTGGTGATAGAAAGTATACTTTATACCAAATTTTTAAAATTATTAATAATTTAACTATTAGTATTTTTTCTTTGAGTAAAAGGTTTCTTTAGACTATGCCTTCTAAGAAGCTCTTTAGCTTCTTGATCATTATTGGCCATGGGTCTTTTTTAGGTTGTCCATTAGGTTGAATTATGTATCTTAGAATGGTTAATTTGAAGTGTTCTTCTTTTAATAATCTGACTTGTCTAGTGCTTGTAGTGAATGGAACTAGTTTGGTTTTATGTTTGTTGATTTTTGCATTAGATGCGAGCTTATATATTTTAAATATTTGTTTTAATATATTCCAGTCTGTAGTTAATTCTATGCCAATTATTAGATTATTAGCATATGCTGTAGCTTTAAAGAACTGTTTTTCTAATAAAATTCCTTTTAGTTTTCTTTCTAATTGTTTTAGCATTAGTTCAAATACTAATATATATAAAAGAAATAAAAGAGAATCTTCTTGTCACACACTTCTTTCTATTCTAAAAGATTCAGACAGATTATTTTCTTCTATTATATGGGTCTTCTGATTAGTGAAGAGGTTTTTGATTAAGTTAATAAATCTTGAATCAAAGTTTATTTTGTTTAGTACTAATTTTAAAAACCCATGATTTACTCTGTTGAAAGCTTTTTGCTAATCAACAAATAGCATCTAATGTTGCTTAGAGTTATCTTTTTAGTCTCTTATTGTTATTAAAATATCAAAAACTGTGTCTGTTATAGACCTGTTTGTGATGAAGCCTTGTTAATAACTTGAAATTATATCATTATAGATTAAATTTAATCTGTTGGCTATGATCTTTATAAAAATTTTTGCATTACTATTAACTAGTAAAATAGGTCTCTAGTTGTTTATATTATCAAGTTATCTGATTTTTTTGAAATTAGTATGATTAGATTCTTACATTATAAGACTAGAAAGATGCCAGAGTTTAGAGTTTTATTAAAGATCTTCTTCAAAACTAGTGCTACTACTTCTTCTGTAAGTTTGTAGAATTTATAAGTTAAGTCATCTATTTCAGAAGACTTGTTATTTGGTAGGTTTTATATAACTTTTATTATTTCTTCTTATGTAATTCTTTTAACCAAGCATTTATTGGATTTATGTTGTACTTGTAGAAGGTTTTTTGTGATTTTTTCTACTACTTTCTTGTTAAACTCTTCTGCTTTGTAGGTTTTTGCATATTGTTCTTTAATGTACTGTAAAATGTCTTTACTATTTTAATGATTACTATTTGAAATTTTAATTTCTAAGTAGGCTGCATGGGATTTTTTTTGTTTATATTTTGCAAAGAAAAATTTTATTGATTTTTTATCTTGTTTTATCCATTGCACTTTGGATAAGATAGGTTATTTTTTTGTCAAAGATGTTAACTCCTCTTGTAGATGTACATTAAGCTCATTTAGTTTAATAAATTAGCTATTTTTTTACTTAATTTTGTTATTTCATTATTATGCTTTGAGATTTTGCTTTTTGGTATTTTCAGCTTTCTAAATGCTCTTATAATTGATTATATATAGACCTTGCAAAGATTCCAATCCTCTGTTATATTTGATTTACTAATTTCCTTAAAGACCTTTTTTTTTAAGTTTTTTTATTATTGAATATGGTTTTATTAAATTGCCAACTGGATGGTTGTTTTTATTTTCAGTTGAAGTTGAGTAAGTAACTAACTAGAAGATGATCAGAGTTACCAAAATGTGTGATGACCTTAGAGACTAAATATAATTGATTTTTATTAATAAATATGTAGTCTAAACATGTTGCCATCATGTTATCACTTTGTGTTTTTTAGTAAAATGTAAGAAAAGGCTTAGAGTCTGTGATTTCTGCAGTGTTTGAAAGATTTTTTGTTAATTCTAATAGTTAGTTTTTGAATGGGTCTGGCTGAGGTACTGCTTGACTTATTTTGCTTACTTCAGGTTTAGATTATGTTAAAGTCTTCTGCTATAATGTTTATTATATTTTCTTTTATTTAAGAAGTCCAGTTATCAAAAAATATTACTCTGTTATTAGTGTTAGAAGATGTATACATATTAGTAATATGAAATAAGAGACCTTTGTAAACAAATAATACTCATTTATCTTGTTGTATTTTTATATTTTTAAAAGTAATATTTTTGTTTTTAGCCAGAATTGCTACTTTGTCTAACTAGAATGAGTTATATATCCATTGATGTTTTAGAAAGTTCCTAGTATTTTTATTATTGAGATTAGTTTCTTGTATCATTATTAAATCTAAATTGTAGGATTTTAAGTATTAATGTTTTTTGTTGTTTGTCTTGATTATTTAGTTCTTTTACATTCAAAGTTGCAATTTGAGTTTGAATTTTGGAGGCATGTAAATATACAAAAATTTTGATCCAATTAGGTCTATGAAGGCAGTTTCTCATTGTGTTGTTTTTTGTATAGGCTAGGCCTTAATTGGTTCTTATTCTGTAAGCTCTTTTCTTTTTTATCTTTGTCTTTTTTATGAGGTAACATAGGGGCCTCCTCATTGTTAACTTCTATTATAGATAATGTTTTATTTATATTTTTGTTTTCTAGCTATAGTTCTGTATTAAGATACAGTGCAGCTAGTTCATTATGAGATGCTAGTACTAGGTTAGATACAAGATCTTTATCTTTACTTAGTGTAGAGTTTCTTTTATTGTTGTCTATTTCTATTGAAGGTAACAAAGGCCTATTTTGTTCATCTTGCATTAAATCATTTTCTTGTAAGCCTGCACTGTTAATAATAGGTATATTATCTTGCAAATATGGGTTTTCTTCTTTGTTAGCAAAATTAGCTGCATAAGATTCTTGTACTGGTCTGATATTTGCAAAATTATCTTTGCTATATGATCTAATTCTTTTTTTGAAGTCTTGATATTGTTAGTAGAAGGTTACTGATTTCTGAAATAGCTGGCATTCCTTTTTAATATGCACTTCTTTTTCACAGAAGTAGCATATTTTTGCTGCTGCTTTCTACTCTGTTGTGACTTTGTTATCCCAAATATGGGTAAACTTTGATATTTTACCTTCTAAAAATAGATCTTCTGTAGTCTTGAAAATTATAACCCACTGATCTGTTAGGTATGGTATACTTTCAATTAACAGGAGTTTAATTGATGCTATTTTACCTATATTCTCAAAAGCATCTTTGATTGAGTTTGATAGTTCTTTTTTGTTGCCTAGTAGAACATTTTTAATTTTAACTAGCAAAAATGATTTTCTTATATTTATTGGAACATATTCAAAATATGTTTTGTTAAAAATTTTAATACCTTTTGTTGCATAGATCTTTAGTTTTTCTTTATCTGTAAAGATGATTTTTAGATGTAATCATGTTTTTTTAGTAAGATGTTGTTTAGCTGCAATGATGTTATTTTTAGCAGTTTCAAATAAAGATAATATAATTTTGTTAAAAGAGCATCATAGGCTTTGTATATCTATGATAAGGATATTTTCATTTTTTGATTTAATTATGTTCTTAGGAGAAAAGGATGAGTAAGTTAACTGGCCTCTTTTAAGTTTAGAAAAGAACTTGACTATTTTTTTGTTAATGGTTCAGTCATTCTGCTAGAGCTAGAAGTTGTATTCTTTTCTGAAATAAAGTTACTTTGTTCATTTATCAACTTATTTTGAGTTGTTGTTTCTATGTTGTCTTTGTTACCTGTACTAGTCTCAAAAACCTCTTTGTCATGTGATGTTGTTTTGTTGTTATCTTTGTTATATATGCTAATTTCAAGAACCTTTTTATTAAGTGTATTGATTTTAATAATCTTTTTATTATATATAAAAGTATTGTTATCTTGTTCTACAAGTGTTGCTATGTTGTTGTCACTTTTTTTTACCAATAAGATTTTTTCTTTTATCATGTATGTTCTATTTTTTTTAAGTTCTTCTTTATGTATATTTGTTATTTCTTTAAGTTTTTTAGTTTCTTAAATTACTTATTCATCTCAGCTAAAGTTGTTTTTGTTGATATGTTCTAGCCTTTTACTTTTACTTGAATAGACTTCATGTTTTTGGTGTTTTTCTTATTAGCATTGTGGTTTTTCATTTTTTTGCTATAGTGCCAAAGCTTTTTGTATCATTAAAAGCTTTAAAAGATCTTTTTCTTGTATCAAGAGCAAGTGCTCTTGCTTTAAAACCTTTTTTAAGTTTGTTTGTCTTACTGTTGTAGTTTATTTTCCTATTTAGTTTCACTTCACTTTCAAATGCATATGGTCTGAAAAGAGTGTAGGTAGATCTGCTTTTTGTTAACTTTAACAGAAGCTCTGTCAAATTTAACAAAAAACTTGTCTAATTAAACTACTTTTGCTCAAATTTAATTGTGCAAAACAAAAAGTTAATTAGAATATATCTTTAATATATAACTTATAACAATTTTATTAAATATTAATACAGTAATAGCTTATCTAATCTTTAACTCTAATCTTTAAATACTAGCTATTATACTTTGATAAAGTACATGAATAAATATTATATTCTTTTATATAACAATTTGAACAAGTATATACATGTAAGGGTGTGGCGACCTAGTGAAGTGGTCAGGTTGTCAACCCCCTAAGTGGTAGGTTGGGTGTTCAAATCCTATCGATGGCGAAAATTTGGATAATCACCTATGTAATATTCATATTATGGCAACTGTTACTAATGGTTGGGTTAGGATACCTGTA